CTGTGAATGTTGTGAAGAACTATCATGGACCGCCCCCAGGTGGGGAGGGGGGCGCCATGTGCTCGGTTCTGGACGCCGTCCTCTTGCGGCTGGCGTGCCTCGAGGAGGAGCGCGAGCGCTCCTCCCGCTCTTCGGGAGCTCTTGAACTCTTGCGTCGTCTGTCCTCGCGCTTCGAGCCCATTTTACCAAGAGAAAAACACCGGGGGTGTGTTGCCAGAGGCTCAAAAAATAAAGACTGACCAGTGCGCATGCGCAGCAAGGAATCATGGGAGTTTATTCTGGGAGCTACCAAGTGAGAAATGGGGGTGGTCAGGCCCACTACACCTTATGTCATTCCACTGAAGGCTGACATACGAGGGAATGCGGAGACAACTGCCATCTCCTCGGCGCTAGCACGGATCGTATGGCCATATGTTGTTTGTTTACATTCTTTTTGGGAGCCTCCTAAAAATACAGCGGGCCTGGCTCAACGTTTTCTCGCGCTGCACTGACTCACCGGAAAAGCGATGCTAATATGTTGAAAGTTATTGAAAATGACTATCTCCATGAATCTAAATTATTCATATTTTCCGTTTTGGCTCAAAAATCTTACATAACATCGCTTTAGAGTGTTCCACCCGTAACTATCTGATCATTTTACCGCGTTTCGAAGGGAAATGTAAAGCTGTAGCGCTCCCTGCTATGGAAAAATTGATGCGCCAGACAGTATAACTTGATTACGCCATGTGTGACGTTACAATGATGCATGCAACTGATTTGTTGCTTGGTGAAGCAGATTAAAGCCTGATTCTATTGGAGGGGGGAAATTCTGGGATACAGAAAAAGAGAGTTGAGGAAAACCTACCCCCCTGGCTGACACACTGAGGGGTTGTAATTATGTTCCCCAAAGATGAAGTTCATTGATACCTCCCTTGGGAATTGAGAGCCAGCCTCATACCCAGTGTCTGTGCCCTATCCCGAGGCCTGTACAGCAGTGTGCCAGTATACCTACCAACATCACATGACTTTTTACAAATTTCACAGGGGTCTATCTATCAACCAGTCTCATTCAGTACTCACCATAGTCTGTTCTACCACTTTGAAGAGAAAAAACTACATTCCAATAGAAAATTTTCTTTTTCTTTCAACTTTTATACCAGCTATCCCACTATACTATACTAATGAAACCCCCAAAATTCACACACATACAGCTAAGAATACACAGCTGGAAACCCCCTGCACACCCCAAATCCCCTTTCTGTAACAGAATATGTTGCCTGTATTACACCCATGCCATATACAGCAATATTCATCCTTATTTTCGTCCCAACAAACAATAAAAATGACTATTTTTGTGTGCTGAGGGGGGGGTGTCCCTGAGGCAGGGCACATTTTGATTGACAGCTGTTAATTGGTGAAAAATACTATGTTATAAACCATCATAAATCACTTAGTCCATCATTTGCAACAAACCTATATGACTTTTGCAGTCATCTAAGCTTTCCAAGCTGTTTGTTGCAACTTTTAATTATCCAGTATACACACAGCCCATAGGTAAATAACAGCATTATCATACTGAGATCACACTTTTGCTAAGAAAACATGCAAAACATGCACCCATATTCTCCAAATCAGGTCATCATCTAACAACAGGTACCAGTAGCTGATATTGAAAATAAAAATTACCAAACCTAATCCAGTTAATGAGTTTGGGTAAAGGGGGGGGGGGTGTTCACTGAAGGGCAGACAGTACTATTAGATTTGTCCATAGGAACACATGCTTAAATACACTATTTCAACACCTCATGAAAATACTTGCCCATACTTCAATCTCAAAATTTTTTCTGCACCAGGTAGCAACAAGGGTCTGATTCTCAAAAATAGAAAGGAAACAGGGGGTTGACCATCTCAAATTCCCGTCACAGCTGATGATAGTAACAAAACCTCAACTTTGACCTACATTTTCCATGGTATCCATCCGCCTGGCCAGACAAGACCTAACCACTCACATCTCTCACTACGCCCACTAAACTGGTGAAATAAACAAAACTTGACCAATGTAGGAAAGTTTAGACCCTACCTGTGCCTTTCAGCCCAAAAATCTCCAAAATGGACCAAAACAGGAAGAAAAAAGGATTTTCAAAGGTATTAACTAGGCACTACAATCGTGTCTGCCCTTAACCCTCCGGTGGACTGACTCTAAAAACTGGCAAATTCTACAATCCCTACCCTCGTAGGAAGGCCTGGCGGAGGCTAACCCAAATCTATCGCAGTACGTTTAAAGAATGCGCGTCAATTTATTACACCGTTAATATTGTTGTCGTCTTCCTAAATTTATAATTAAGCGTTGTCGGCCCTCCTGCATTTACCGTGAGCGTAACTAAGCTAATAGCCCATTATGATAATTTCTGCACATGTCCAAAATATTGTTTACCTTTAGGGACAAGTACACAGTTTTTTATTAGCCTAATTGTATCAGTTATGTGCACGGGAAAGTATGGTATATACAAATCTATATGCACCTTCAAAGGCTAAAAAAACTAAAGTCATGCTTGTTTCTACAAGGCACACGTGGATACTAAATGTTTACAATAGCACGCGTCTATTGTTATGTACCGTATCGAACCGTCTGTTTATTTGTTTATTTGTTTATTAGAAATCACCACAAGTACAAACATACAAGTGGAAGGGAGGACAAAACAGGTGAAGTTGACACCTTTACAAGTTGTCCTCCCAAACACAACAATATAAATACAATAGTCATAAAAATGCAATACAATACACTGCTATAGAATATCATTCATTATATACAATTGTAATAATATTACCCTAAACTAAACTACTGTAAACTAAAGCGATCGCTTGAATGCCAGAATGATGGGCAATTGAGTGGCTAATGCACCAGTATTGCGGAGATCAGGACTCAGCTTGTTCCAGGTAGTAACCAGTAGGAAGAGCTGAAGGCTGATGTCCTAACTCTAACTGGAGTAAGCATGTGCGATCTAAAGTGTCTTGAGGGTCGGGATGGAAAAGAGACATACAATCGGTTTTGTCTTAACAAAGACCGTCGGCCCAATAAAAGCTGTATAAATTGTTTAATTTTAATACCTTGCATGATATGTTGCTCTGCTTAGCTTAACGAGGCATCATCAATTTTTGGACCCAAAAGTGAACCCTTCGAGGACAAAACCATCATGGTAAAACATATACAACCACCTCTTAGTGCATATTTGCCTCATTACTTCGTGTTTCTGCCAGAACAGCAGGATTCGTTACCCTGGGCGACGCACTAAGGTAGTACTCCCCACTGTGGCTTCTCCAGCAGCTTGAATAGTGAATTGACCTCCAATAAATACAGAAGAACTTTATTGCGCAACAGATGTAGCGGGTACAACGTATGGCAAAATGATACATACATAGTTTGTGGTGTCAACATACACATATGGTGGTGTTGAAAATATATCTAACAGTTCTACTAACTGTAATAGGAATCTGGTCTGCTTCATAAACAATGTATAACAAAAGAGAGACAATAATTATACTAATCTAAATCTATTAATACAATGTAGTAATAAATTGTGTCAGGAATTAATTACGTTTTCTCGTTTTGTCATGGAATTGTGTACAAATTGGCCTACATAAGTGGAAATGTTGACAGGGCATGATAGTAACATATAGAATAGCTCTGTCTTTGTATGGGGTAGTGTTATATTGGTCTTACATGTAATATGTTGTAACAATTTTCGTCGGTTTTCATCATAGGTTGGGCAATCTATTATAAAATGTAGATCGTTTTCAACGCCTTTATGACACGTGGGACACAGTCTCTCATTGACACAGTCTCTCATTAACTCATAAACATCCCAGACTGTCTCAGGCCCAGAACAAAAGGCATGGGCAGAATGATTTACAATTTTCGTCCCTACATATTGTTTGTCAATGCTATGGGGTGGAGACAAATTACCATGCGACAGGAAAATTGACGTTTATATGTTCGGACGACCTACTACACATTTCACCATGGCCAATGAAAACAACACGTTGTGTCACCTCTGACATTTTAACTCCTGAACCTTGCATCTATGTCAGGAAAATGATCAGAGAAACGGAGCAAACATAAAATGCACAATAGGATAATCTAAGAACCAGAAGCAACACTTAGCTGTTTGATTTCGTGATTCTTGGATTTAAAAATTCTGAACTGGAGGACAGACATGAACACATACATAGTCTGATAGTGTGATAAAGCACAGAGATTTGGAGTAATAGTCTTCTGTTTTCATTTGTCCTTTTGCTGAACTTACAAATATAATATTTCCATTACATATAACCATGTCCTTTTTTTGTCTCACAGTAAGTAATAATTACATCATTAGCAGATTGCATGTAGATCTTAATAATGCCATTTTCAGAAAATGTATGGGCGATATACAGATTTCATAATATCATAACACTTGTCTATTATAAAGGACCATTTTTCTGATCCCCAATCTTTTTACAGGAATCCTTCTGGTGTCTGACGTCATACGAGCGTCATCATCACCTCAGAGATGGCGTGAGGTCCATGAGAACAAATCGTTGCCATGGCAACTGACTGGGACTACGCTTTCACTGTCATCATCGGAAGTACGTTTTTCTTTAAAACTTCTGTTTTCTGGTAGTGTCAGTCGTACTGTTATTTCGTGTTTCACATCCTGTCTTTTTTATCTTCTTTCTTTCTTTTATTCTCTTTGGCCATGTTGATTTGATTATATGGATGACATCCGCACGCGCATGAATTTTCGGCCGTTTCCAAAAAAAAAAAGTTTTCAACCATACTGTAAATCGTGCAAAACAGTTGCTAAATGAGCAAAAATATACCATAAGTTGCAAGGAAAACATGTAGAAACAATACCAATGTCGTAGAATGCCAAAATCAAAGGAAAAAGACAAAAATGTAAAGAAATGAATTCGATGAGTAGATTATTCGCCATAACATATTCTGTGCCATTTGTTCAACCTTCATGACCACGTAGATTTCATAGTGAAAGCAACTTTTTTTTTGCAAAACTTTTTTTTATTCGCACGCGCGCATCAGTTTTGGGGTTCCCAGAGGATGTCATCCATATAATCAAATCAACATGGCCTAAAATTGTTTAAAAAATCTAGAGGAAATGTGACATGCGGACAAAAGAAAGGAAACACGTTTTGAACATTGCTTTTGAGTTCCTCAAAGTTGACAGAAATCCCTTCGGAGCATGAGCAACCAACGCCAGAGCCCATTTTTGTTGATAAGACTGTGGTTTATTTGCTTCAAGTAATATTGATAGCATCTCAATACTGTACATTTTACCTTCGCTAGAAGGTTACGTTTTGGTAGCATTTGTGTATGTGCATGGGGGTATCTGGCTTAGCACGATTACTCAATAAACTGTGGATGAATTGTCATGAAACTTTGTAGGTGGCATGGGTAGATCTTGATGAGACCTAAAAATTTATTAGATCTCGAGTCGATATCTCGAGTTTAACGCTTCCAGAAATTTTTACTTCATACTTTGAAGCTCCGCTGCAATCAATACAAAAAAACCCGCCAGGAGGCCCATTATCGAACATGCATGACCTGTGTCTTTTCTGTCCCTGCCTAACCACTAAATATCATTAACAACCATCAGCGTTGTTGTACACAAACAAAAACCAAAAGATGAACAACTCTCATTCGTAACGTACATGTAGGAACGTGATGGGATAACCATTTTCGAACATGAACCTCTGCTCACCTACCAAATTTTCGAGATATCTTGCATACATGCAATCGACAAATGCACAAAAAGTCCGCTAAAATACGATTAAGAAAAAGCCAGGTGCACCATTTTTCGACTTGAACTACATTTTTATAACAGCTAATATCCTCATGAAAAGAATAAAAAAAAAATCCGTCCACAAATAATAGTTATGACGTTGACCTTAATGGGGACATGCCATATCTGCTGCAGCATAATCTTCAGATTACATCTCTTTCTGACGAAAGCAATAACTTTGTCAATTCCACGCTCTCCTCTTCGTTTGCAAACACAATTATTTCTCTATTCTCAGCAAAACACGTCTCAAAACGTTACATAGATTGCTTAGGCCACACCAATTTAATTTCTTGGTTAACGGATTCGCCCGCTTCATTTTTTTTTGATTTGCAAATAAAAATAAAAATTCAGAATCAATTGCAAAATGCTCATATTTTGCCCTGAACAGTTGAAAAGTCCTTT